AAGGCTTCAAGGTGTGAGGGAAACAGGTTGTGGAAACCTTCACTGCTCAATCTTTGAATTAACATTTCTAAAGCACAGGCGATATACATACATAATCAATGCGGAAACCTATAATTTCATTATCAGTGATTTTGATATCAGTGTCATAGAAATGGTTTTGATTTAATTCCAAGACACTATTCTGGGAAGAGTTAATAGAATGGGCAGCAAATTGAACCACTGCAGCTCCTGCTCAGTTTGTGTCGCCTCAGTGTTTGCACGGCCCAGGGGCTGTATTTATATGACTGAATCTCAGAAAGTTACTTCTATTTGTTTCTTGCTTATGAGTACAAATTTCTTCGCTAATGGGCCCAAGGAAACATCAAATCCTTCCCAGATCCTTCAAACCTCACCTTGACAGATTTATATTACTGGACATTGTATCAACAGCTTCCGACACCAAGACATTAAGACAGACATTTGCAATCTGTTAATATTATCCTTGAGGTTTTATTCACTTCTCAACTTCACAGGTGCACTTACAGGAACAGGCTAAACGTAACTATGAGAACACTTTGAATAGGTAGAACTGTATTTTCCCAAGCTGTCTACCTAAAATGAAACAGCACAAAAAGGGATGTTTTCCAAAATTTCAGCCTCGATTAACAAATAAAACAGTAATTTAGCAGTCAGGCTGATAGGAACTAAACTGAGGTAAATGAGAAATGCACTATTGGATCTTTCCAAAGTTATTACTGAATTCTCCAGTTTTATTAACTATTTTCAATACATTCTTAAACACATGTACGCGAGTATAAAATGATGAAAGGCAATTTTCTTCTTTCTTTTAATCCACCAGATGTTATTACCATGAAAAGAAACACCAAGAACCAAGAGAAGTGCCTTGGAAACCAACAGGGAAATAGAACTTATTACCTTTATAACATATTCCATTGTGAACAAGAGATTTATTTTTGCAGATTGACAGACTACTTCCCATAATTCTTCTAACATGCGTTTTGTATGTCGTCAACAGTTTGCAGACTGACATTCTTTACAGTAGCATAACTGCCAGTAGTACTTAATGCTCCATACTTAAAAACACTACAACTGATGTGTAATGCTGCCAAAAATTACGTAAACACAAATATTTCACTGAGAAAATTGATGTTCTATTGCTTAATTCTACAATTTCAAGGAATGTTTGTTTGTATATCTAGAACTACTAAAGATCTGCTCCACAGTAGTTGTGGTCACTTGATATCCCTCATGCTTATGCAATTTTTTAAAAGTTTGGTTAAAACAGACTTGCATTGGGGTCACATTGTACCCTAGGAGTACAAATTGCATGACAAACAGGAACGTAATTCCAAGTAGACATATTTTTTGGGACAGTGGAGCATGGATTTTGTACACAAACACAAGCTGCCATTAATTTACTTTATATAATAAATGTATAAAACATTCCAGCGAACGTGCAATATGTAAATACTGTAAATAACAAGCGTAAGTAATAAAGTGTTTGGTATTAACTTGTTCTCAGTTTGCTTTCTGTTCACTGAATCCAGATAAACAAGCTACCTTCAGGTAGCTACTACCATTTATCCACACTTACACCTCTTTCCAGTAAAGAGTTCACTAGAGTAAGAAAGAAAGGTACACACAGCTCACAGAAGTCCAGTTATTTGGATACTCTCTATGGATTTGTGAGGATGGACAGATCTGTGTGTTCCAATCCTGTGAAACGCCTAGACCACATGGCTGCTCCAATTCTCTACAGCATTATAAATTTGAATCTTTTTTCACAAAAAATGGTTGTTTCAGGGTGGGTTTTTTTGTCCATTTGAGTTTTGTTTGTTTTAGAAATAAAAATCTGCAGTCTATTCATGATACTGCAAGGCAATATAATCAATAAAGGTCCAATAGATCATTTTAGTATTGTAAATTTTTTTAAGGAGTCAGTAAACACTCACTCAAGAAGCCCTGACAGACACTTCCCTTTCTTCCTTAAATCAGTCTCAATAACGCTCCAACATGAAGAAAATTTTTTATGTGTGATCTATAGATGAGCCTCAGGTACTTTTATCTTAACACTGGCATTTAGCTTCCATTTTATCCTCAATTCAAACCACAAAATGTAAAAACAAAACCAAACACAGCCCCCTCCACCCTGAGAAATAAGTAGGAGCTGGGATTCTTGAAATTCACACTTAAGAGCCTTTAGCATCTAGCTCTTTAGAAGAAAAAAGGAAAAAATGGCAGAAGTACAAAATCCCATCCTAGAACATGGCTGTATTTAGTAAGGGAGAAGTACATTTGTATTTGCTTTCAGTGATCACTAAACACTAAAGTTTCATTTCTCAATGGAAGTAATACACGCATGCCGAAAAATTGGTAGTTAAAGCAATCTACTGCTACAGGATTCACTTCGCTGCTCATTTGCAGTAAATGTGGGTGGAACTCTGTGCTTCTCTGTGGTTCCACTGACTGAAATCAGATCTCAGCATATTACTTACCATGGGAGTTTAAATTAGTATAAATCTTTCTTTTTTTACTAGGACACCTGAAATCTTGTTAAATAAAAACTTTCTAGAAAATCTCTTTGTAAAATTGTAAATTTTTTTTAGTGACTTCATAAATGAATATAAATAAATTAATCCCATGGAAGTTTTCTCTAGATTTAGCAGAAGTCAGCACGTTTTGACAGAAGATACAACTATACTCCAGCAATTTTTTTTTTTTTTCCCCTTAGTCTTAGGTATAAGCTTACTATCTAAACTAAAACAAGTCGTGGTGGGGGAGAGAGGGAAGGAGGAGTCAGTTCTGTATTTTTTCATTCAACATTACATTTTTAATGAGTGGTATTTTAAACTTGTAAGAGCATAGTCATCTGTATGATACACAGTTTATGCATTAATCCTATGTTCACTGTTCCTCTTGGAACCCAAATAATGGTACTGTGCAACTGTCCTTCCTGAAGGTAATTCCTGTTCTGTATTCTTATATTCTACAAGTTCCTTTAAAATACCGTCATTGCTCTCCTCCTCCACTTTGGAAAAAAAAACCCACTAGAGATAAAAATCAATCAATCAATCAGTTTTTTCCTCCTAGTACAGCTAGTGAATTACTTAGCCAATAGATTACTTGCTGAAAATAAACCTCAAGGCTGAAACTTTTAAAATCTGAACTGAATTTAACATGAATAGTTTTGACTTAGTATCACTTTACAGGAAGAAGCCTAGTGAAGGTAAACAACCATATCCTTTTATCTCCTTTCTGTTACCCCAGCAGCAAAAAGATAAAGATTTAAGACTTTTAAATCTTAACTTTAATATGTAGGAAACTATAGGTTCAATTCCTACTCAGCCATGACCAGGTAAAAGCACAACCCATCACATTCTTATCTTCTGAGTTACTTTACTTTCACTGGAATATTTTAATGGTCATTCTGGCAGAGAGTAACATTAGATTACACCTAAATACTTCAACTTCTGAGGTTAGTTCATAAAACCACATTTAAGATGGTTTGTCCCTAACTGCCCATCATTTTCCCTCATTTGTTTTGTGCAAGTATTCTTAAAAGAAATGGGAAATATTTTTTTCCAGAGTCAGTGCTTGATCTGACCTGAAATATTATATACTCTTTGTCCCTGAAGTGAAACAGCTATTAACTTGCAAATTCCTAGCTTGTTCTTTAATATAGTCACAACTACTGGTAATGCAATAATGCACAAAGATCCTGATTTCTGTATACAAGTATTCCATTTACCACTCGCCTTTTTGTAAGCAGGTTCTTAAGTTTTATGTCTGATTGAAACTTCAGCACAAAACAAAAACCTCACTAACACAAACACAGCTGCTGGACAGCAAGAGTCCCAGGAAACTTAATTCCCATTGTGCCAGCTGCAGCACATGCAGAGTGACACCACGATTTCTCTCTCCCCAGGAGTAAGAGAGTCTTCTATCGAAATGCATCCCTCTCCCAGAAGGTAGAGTGGGTGACAAATACAGGGGCTAGTCTACTAGTTTGGAAGGCAGACAGAGGCAAAATCAATGCTAAATAAGTAAGACAGCAGGTTTTACAGATACAGTTTTACAGATAATGTAGTTCATACCAATGGTGGCATTATTCAAAACAGAAATATTATCATGGTATCAGTTACTTTACTGATCTCAGTACATTTATGTTTCTAAGGCAGAAATGAAAGGTGATATTCAGACAAACAGGCATGGATTTTTACAAAACATAAAATTTTTGTCCAAGAGCAGAACCTTCTACTTCCTGGCCTTCTGTTAACTTTGTATTATATTACAGATGGACTGTCTTCAGGTTGAACTATGCTCTCAGAGAACACTTTTGACAGGCTATCCATTCTCCTGAGTAAATCTGAAAATACTGTCTGTTGCTCACACAGGAACTGGGACTATAGCAGATTTCTCATTGATTATATGGCATGGATTTCAGTATTTTACTACTATGAGATACAAAACGTACCTTTCACATTTAGGCTTGACCTGGTTTGTCCTCAAAGTAAATGCTATGTTACATGTACTTACATCAGTGTGCTAGGAATTGACCACAAGATCAAAGGAAGACTAGCCAGAGAAGTATTATTAACATCAATCACTATTTCTGAACTGAGTTAATTTTAATTCGTATAGAAATGTACTAGAACAAAAATTATTTCTTCTTTGAACCACTGAGCATTCAAACGGATATAATTTCACAGAATCCTGATGACACACACAGAGGTTTTTGCTTGCTTAAGCTTTGAAATAGCGCTAAGAGCAGTGTCTGTCTAGGGGCAGGCAGTTCTTTTAGTCTAGCAGGCTCAACACGAAACAGCTTCACTCCAGAGGCTGTCTAACGACACCAGGATGGCACGCCTAAGTTAGCACACATGAACTATTATCTTGCAGATTCTCACTGAAAGTTGATTTAAATTAACTCACCAAGGGCACAATGAGAAGACCTCAGTTTAGTTACTATAGCACATAAAGAAGCAAGAAGTTACTTTTGCAGTGCTTGTGAGAAAGCACTGGAAGAGTTTACAGATAAATTTATTCTGAATTCTATACTTCATTATTACATTGATGTGTGACAAAACGGTTGATCATCTAATCCGATTAAAACTCTTCTAAATATTTTAATTAGATGACAGAAAAGCTAAACTATAAAATTAAACTGGAAAAGTTTTGAACCTATTGAGGCGTAATTTTACAATTTAAATACATTGAACAAGTAAATCTTACATATTTCAGGAGAAGCTAATTATTTTCTTTTAGAAAAAAGACGATGAAGCATTAATGAGACTTCTCCAAAAATGCTTTACAGCATCTAACACACTGCTCGTAAACAGTTTCAAAGTCCTTTTCATTCCCCTAGAAAAGAACAGAGGAAAAAGAACGTAAGAACAGCAATACTGGCTCAAACAAAGAACTTTTGCACACTAGTTTCCTCGCTGTCAGTAATGGCAAATAACTGACATTAAGGAAGAATAAGAACAGTACAAATACTTGGTGAGTTTTTATGTATTTATCCCTAATTTGAACTACCTGCAGCTCAGGAACTTCCACAGCCAAACACTGCGACTTTGTACTCAACAGTCCTGGATGAACTTTCCTTCACATACTTCTTCCATTCACTTTTTGAGCCCTTATAGGCCTTTTCTTTTTTTTCTTTACATTCACAGTAACCTGTCATGTTGAGTTTCACAGTTTAATAAAGCAGTGTGGAAAAACCCAAAACCCAATCTCTTCCTGTTTTGAACCCCACTCCTCACCATGTGATCTCATATTGTCTACTTCCTGAGTAATGAATAGCAATTCCTTATTCACCTTTTCCCATAATATCAAGATTTTACAGAATCCTACTGCATCTTCATCCACTTTTCTTTCCTAAACTTAAGAATATCCATCTAATTGGTTGCTCTTGGCTGGTATTATTCAACTTCTTTGACCATCTCTGTCCATGTCTTTGTCTCTGTCTTTCCTGATTACATCCTCTTTGCATCAGATTATATGTCACATGCCAACTGTGGGATCTGGAGAGATTATAGGCTATACATACGCAACTTTTAATCAAGCCACCCAAAAAACTTCTTACACATACATAGTATGGATCTTCAATGATAAGTTGTTTCTGTGGATCATAAGTTCCAAGTAGTTCAATTTTGGCCTTGCAGTCTTTAACTTGGTTGCTTTTCCTTTTCAGATCTCTGTAAAAGAGAAAATAAATTTTTCCCATGAATTTTTCTTCAGAACTTTTTTGGCATCAGCATGAGATGCTTGTGACCATTTCTAGATAACACAGGAATATATAATGCATCTGGACTCAGTCAATTCTGTGGACTCTCTATGCTGCTGCTTGTTTTCATTCGTTTCATGTTGTGTGAGGGTTTTTTTAATTGACTATGGAGAACATAGACATAAACTTAATTCAGAGCACAAACAAGCAGCCAGGTGCTCAACCTAAGGCTTAACAGAACTTTGTCATAGTAATTTCATCAACTTTATCCTCAAATCAATCATTAGTACTTTCAATATCCACCTTTAGCTTGTATTGAATAAAATAGATGAAAATTGTCTAGATATTTTTCCAGGAGTAAGCTTCTCCCATCTTTTCAAAACCAGTGTTTTAAATTGGTATGCTGCAAGTTCTCTTAATACTGCCTCTAGCTCATGTGAAATCTTACTGCATTCAGTTAACAGAAAATGGTAAATCAGTGAGCAAGACTCGTCTTCCCTTTGACTTACTATAACAGCTCATCAGTTGTCACATCCTTTTTTCTACATTGCCTCCCATTGATAAAACATACTGGTTTTGAGATGGTATTTTCCCTGTCTACTTAAAAATGGCCTTCTGTTATCCCAAATACAATTAAAATGTACCTTCCATCATCTTCAGATTAAAAGCAGTTCACTGCTATGCTTTTCACAATGCTGAACAGCCAGAACATTCTTTTAATATTACGAATCTCCACACCAAATTTTTACTTACCCAGCATTAAAAAAGGCAAAAAAATCTTGTAAATACTTAATCAGTTTTAAGAAATTAAATCCTAATTATTAATTTTAAGAAATTAATTTCAGATTGTTTAGAAATAGCAGTGAGACCACAATACTGTTTTTCCTTGAAGAAAAATCAAGACTCTATCAACTAGTTAATATTCTATCAACTAAGAAGTTATTGCTTCAATTTAAAGATTTTCACTAAATTCTCTACTTTTATTATTAAAAAAAAGTCTAACCATTTCCTTCAAGGTTTTTGGCATACCATGGATGAACAGGAGAGGGCTAGGTGGCTCTGCTACTAAGGAAAAGGGATGTCCCAAATCTTCCTTTTCTGATATGACAGGCACTCCATCAACACCTGGAATCAGCTTGCCACAAATAAGCATTCCCAGAGAAAATGGTTGAACTGGGTAGAAGTTTAAGGTGAAACTTAAGTGCAGCAGTAGCAATAACCCTATTATAGTTGTGACGTTTCTTCTGCTCTACAGCTCATATCATATAAATTGTTAATATAGACGTAAGTTTCCATTTAAGAATTAAAGTGAAAATAGAAGTAACCCTGGTCATGTCTTTGCCTGACATGCTGCAATCAAGCCAAGTCTTATATACCTTTCATTCATGCAAGCTGTGTGAGAGGTCATTCCAGAAAACTCAATAAAAATTTCAATTAAGTGGTGCTTCTTTGAGAAGTCTTTATGTGCTACTAATAGCTAAAACACAGTTTTATTTTGGTTTTGTTTTGTTGTTGGTTGTGGTGTTTTGGGGTTTGTTTGTTTGTATTTTTAAACTAACTTCACAAGTAATAGCCCTTACTAGCACTTTGACACTTGTAGTGTATTAAACCTCAGCACCTTAACCCCAACCATCAATATTTATGTAATTTAAGTAGAAATCTTGCTAATGATATCCAAATTTTCACACTAGACAGCTACTCTTTCTAAAGCATAAACTGTCTCAAAGATGCACTTAATTAGAACACAGCTAACAGTAACAAACAAGACTTCCCCCAGCTAACAATCTTGCTTATTTCAGAGCTCACTGTTTCTATTAAAAAAAAGAAAAAACCCACACCATATTTAATCTCTTCCAAGTTGCCACAGCATCGATCAAGACAATACGTCCTCATTCTTAACTATACAAGCCATCAGCTGCACATCTATAGCACAAGGTATACTGAAATTCCATGTCCTTAATCCTTGAGTGGCATGTATCACACAAATAAACACCTGAGTTCTAGCTCGTTAAACTTATTATAAGTGAAGAATCCATCTGTTAGGTATATCATTCACACACACATACAAAAAAAAAAAAAAAAACAAAAACCCACAGGACAAGCTAAGCAGTAAAACGTGGCATCTGTCTTCGAAGTGACTTACAAGACATCACTACAAGTAATCCAGATGAATTTGTTCCATTTCTTCATACATTACCTTAGATTGCTCTCATCCATACAAAGTATATAATCAAAGGTCTGGAAATCATCTTTAGTAACCTAAAATTAAAAATATGTGCTTTAGCCTATAAACTGTGTTTGATTTATAAAAATGGGAAAAAAAGTATTTTCAAATTCTGTAGTTCTCATTTATTAAGACAGACACAGGTGGAAAGAACACAACTGTGTACCTTCATCAACTTTTACAATAACTTAAAGCATTTTAAATATACTCTGCCAAGATTACTTATCAATTTCTGCAAGTTTGCCACAAGAAAAAAAACACACGTTAGCTATTTTACCAATAGGGTTTTTTTTTAAAAAAAACCCCACATCTCATGCATCAACTTAGAACATCATTACAAGTGACATTTCTAATGCTTTCCAATTACTAAAACTAAAGCAGGTCTCCAGTTGTGAAAATCATGCAATAAAAACATAGACAAATTACTTTCTTGACAGAACAACAAAAATGTAGGTCACCTGGAATCAGTTGCAATACTTCCTATCTAGAAATTTGTCACTACACAGAAAAAAATGCCAAGTGAAATTAAATGCTGAAGTATGATGGTATGAGTTACAATCTCTTATGAAAAACAAATGCATTCATAGTATTTATGTAAGTTCACAAAATTCATGGTACGATGTGAAAAAATCTGGGATCCATTGTACATCTTCCTGCCATCATACCATCTGTTCTTTTTTTTCCTGTAGCTCACTTAATCCCAAACATGAATATTAACTAAATTCAGAGATCCGAGTTCATAATCAGGTAGGGAAATGTTGCAGATAAACCACTAACTTCAGTACTAATGTCGTCTGTATTGGAATAAGGATGGCTGCAGATTTTTACCAGTATAATCATATTTTAGTTCACATTTAAGCCTTAGCTTGGGGTAAAATCTTCCCAGATCATGCCCACAATGCACAGTATGCTAGTATAAGATATCTGAACCAAGTGTCTATAATGAGGATGAATAAACGGAATAAAATCCATCATGAGTTCACATTAAGACTGCATTTCACGCATAGTCTTATGTGTAGTACCATAGCCAAGTTTGTTTAGTGCAGGTTTTTCTGGCAGGCGTCTCTGGGAAGGATGGGCTAAAGAAGTGAGTAAACAAGTGAAGAGACAAAAAGGCAAACCACATTATCCTGTAAGTCAGAATTTTAACTTGTAAAAAATATTTACATATTTTAAAAAAAGTTTTAGATGGCAAAAAATCAACTTATTTTTTGGGCAAACAGCAAATAGATACTGATTAAGCTCCCATAACAGAGAGTAAGAAGAGACCCATAGAAAGTATCATCAGCCTAAAGCCATGAATGGAACATTTCACACAGGGAGAACTGAAGGGGTGAGGTGTGGGGGGAGAGTGTTTGAAAAGAAAGGGTTAATGGTGAAAAGTAATGCAGACTTGTTTATTTTCACTGTAAAAATATTTGCTGTATTCATGCAGCGCCTTTGACCTATGAAAATATTTTTGCAGTGGAAATAGCTCTGTTTTCCTGGCAACTCCAAGCAGTACCTCTACAAGCTGCTTCTGATTGCTCTACGCAACTCCGCACTGGCCCCTATGAAAACATGTGGGCACAGGTTTCTTTGTAGCACAGACATATGTAAGAATAAAATAAAAAACAATGAAAAAGAAAGACACACCTGCCCCACTTCCCACACTCCCTGTACACTTGACAACTTGACAGTTATTACCCTGTGAGCCAGCACTAGCACAGTTGCAAAGGCAGCCCTAAAACCAAGATTACTGGTCGGTTTGTGCTCCAGCCCTACTCTAGTATCATGTACAACAAGCCTAATTGAGCAAACTCCAGTGAACTGAAGATATTCCTCAAAATTATGAAAACGTATTTTGGGGGAATAAACTGAGGACATAAAAATTTACATATGTTTTGAGAAGAGTAGTGGAGAGCTCAAGCAGTCAACTTTGGATGTAACTACAGAGAGCAGTAACTTTACATTAAAAAAATGCACGCAACCATTATTGAAGATCATCAATGGAGAAATACATCATCATTCCAACTTATACATTAAACATTTCCCTTTGTTTACAGAAGGGAAATCTCCTTTTCTCTGCCTAAAAAACAAAGAGAGACAGTAGGCCTCAAATTTATCCAGTTGTGAAACAGTGTTTAAAACAATCTTCTCTAATCTCAATTTCCTATTTAAGGCAAATGCATGGTATGAGTCATACAGAAATCAATTTTGGCTTCGGCATAAATAAAAGTGAAACTGATTAATACCTATCTGTTTTGTGCATGAAGACTAAGAGCTTAGAGAATTTTAATCAGTGCATAAACATACAGCATCCTACTATCAACCACAATGTTAAACTCTTTATTTTATGTATCAATATATACATTTATTTCTAGACTTCATTTTCACTTAAAATTCACTTAGTCACTGCATATGATGGTAGGATGTAACCAATTTAACATTCTCTCTTCCATAAATCATTCTTGTAGCATTTATGTCAGTTTTAAATAAAAAAAAAGATACAGTCCACAATTATCATAATTATGCACAAAATTACAAAGAAAAAAAAGCGTCTTTCACTGGGTGGGTAACAGTTTTCCACAGGAGTGAAGAGGATAATTGCAGGAGGTAGGCATCTTATGACAGCATTTCGAAGGCAACAGAAGATAAATCCCTCCTCTCCGTTTCTGCAGCTTCTGTATTAATGTTTCTTAATCTGTTCCGACACAAGTCACACACAAAATTCTATCCTTGAGTTTGTCTCTAATAGTGAAACAAGTACACTTCCTCTTGTACTAACCTGACTACTCTGAAAAGCCCTAGTCTACACTGTTGAGTCCCTCTCCTTCCAGAAGTACTACAAGACTGTATCAGGCCCACAGTTCAGAGAATCAGCAGAGACATTTGAGAGAAGTTTGGAAAAAACTATTGGCGTTACATAGTTAACATCAGTGCAAAATGAACAGTTAACTGTAGTTCAGGGATTTGAAAATTTTCTTTGTAAAAGAAACTGCTTGTACTGGGATATTTTAGACAAATTTTCATCCTGTTAGTCTCTCCTTTTATTGTCCCATTCTTGTTATTCTCTCCTGGTATATGGAACATTTTAGGCTCTTCTACTTTAACAGTCTCTTCATTTGCCAGAATGTATAAGCAAACGTCTTCATTAAAGTGTTTTCATTCCCTCTCTGCCAAAGGAGGCTATATAGATTTGTTTCAAGGCAGAGAGCCAAGATGGTTCTGGATGCTTTGCTTTAGTTTAACTGCTCATAAACCACTCTAGGATTACCCAAGAACAGTTCTCAAGTTTCCAAGGCTTATCTTTTAAGAATACCAACATGTTACACTACTGTGACTGAAACACTGACTGATTAGTTTCAGTACCATTTAGCTTGCATAATGATAAATAATGTTGTTTGCAAGCACTGATAAATAGTAAATACAGAACTTGTAATAGGAAAAGATCACAACAGACTTTTTCCCGGTAATTATTCTAACTTAAAACACTGAAAATCTGAAATGATGTTGTGCTCAATCCTGTTTGTCTTATTATATAACAGAGATTAGCATCAGGAGAGGTCAGCAGAGGCCAATTGACTAATTGAGGGAATTTATTTTAAAAAGTTAAAAAACTAAACATGTAGTCTTTGCAAGTGAAGAAAGTAAATATGACCTCAGTAAGGTCTAGTAAAATTCTGAAGGGAACAGAAACGGAAGATAATAAAAAGACTACTTGATCTTTTTGTCAGTGCAAGAACTAGTAGCATAAACTCAAGCTAAGTAAAGGTCAAGCCCTAAAGGAATATCTTATATCCAGAGAACAGTTAACTGAAGTAAGTTATGTGCATTTATTTGAGTGTCTGAATGATTTAAATAGATGCAGACACATTTATTTCCAATCTCTCTGGAATGCAGCATGGAAATACACATTCTTTTGTTAATGAAAACTGAGATAAGTTTTAGTGAAATCCTCTAAATTTTACCAAGTGACAAACCTGTCTCTGACTTAAGAATGCTTCAAGGATACCTCTTCCTCTGAAGTTACCACCAACCATGCAACTAATCTTAGGTTTGAGTTTAGCTCTAATTTAGCATTTTACATTTTTTTAAAAGATCTTAATCTAAGAGCAGAAGCTTTTTGTGATGGGCGAAGAGGTATTCTACTTCTTTTTGAACCTGCTAAATAAAAATACAATTCCTTGCTGAAAGAAGCACCACAGATTATTAGAGTAGTCCAGTTTTAAAAATTATTAAAAACCATTACAGAAAAATGCCTAAAATGCTAAACATTTGAAGGCAGGATTTTTTTATAATGCAGAAACTGCTCCAATGCTTCCTAGTTATACTTCCAATGAAGCTCAATAACCAGAAACTCACTAACCTCAACTAGAAGAGTTAGGTTGCTTTGGAGTCCTTTGAAAAACTGCACATAGTATTTGATGCTTAACCATGCATTGGGTCAAATGGCTTCTGTGATTGTAATGATTAGGGCTAAACAAAGGATGGGTATGAGTAAGAAAGAAAATATACTCTCTTCTACCTGCCGTGCTTTATGTGCTGTCTCAATGCCATGATTTCTTAGACAGCTTAAAGCCCTTGCATCTGGGGAGCGCCCCACGTTCCAGTCTGAAACAGCAGCACTGTCTGTCATCCACTGTAACAAAACAAATACATATACATATTTAAAGAAAACTGAAGTACAGTACCTGCCTGGCAATATGATTCATGGTAATGCCATGCTTCTTCATGCAAGTCTGTCCTCGATAGTCAGGAGGGCTTCCTATTTCATAGGTAGATGTCGCTGCACTGTCTATCCTCCACTACAGAAAAACAAATTTATATTTTTATGTTTCCTTTCTCACTGCTTATATTTCTACTAACTGGCTACAAGACAGTTATTTCTTACGCAGGAACAGAAATAAATAACTTACCTTATTTTCAACTTTTTCATCAGTTACAAGTTTTCTAAAAACTGCTTCAGCTATTGGAGAACGACAAATGTTTCCTATAGAAACAGGAGATTAAAGTGAAATTTCAGACAATTAAAAAAAAAATCAATAATTGTGTGGATTTGTCAGCACAGATCAGATTAAAGATTTTTATTTACTTAGGTAGAATGCGGATTTGCTTATGTTATTATAACCCAAGAGATTCTGCAAGGGCAGAAACCCAGATTCCCGCACCTGGGTTGGGGCAATCTCCAGTATCCATACAGACCGTGGGATGAAGGGATTGAGAGATGTGGAGAAGGACTTGGGGATAGTGGTAGGTGAAAAATTGGACATAAGCCAGCAATGTGCACCTGCAGCCCAGAAGGCAAATCAAAAGGCCTGGTTTGCATCAAAAGAAGCGTGGCCGGCAGGTCAAGGGAAGTGATTCTTCCCCTCTACTCCGCTCTGGTGAGACCCCACCTGGAGTTCTGCATCCAGCTCTGGGGTTCCCAGCACAAGAAAGAAACAGACCTGTTGGAGCAGGTCCAGAAGAGGGCCACGAAGATGATCAGAGGGCTCGAAGACCTCCGAGTGAGAACTGGGGTTGTGCAGCCTGGAAAAGGACTGAGGAGATCTTATTGCAGCCTTTCTCTGTATAAAAGCAGATGTAGTGACAGGGCAAGGGGCAATGGTTTTAAAGTGAAAGTGAGTAGATTTAGATTGGATGTAAGGATTTTTTTTTTTTCATGAGGTGGTGAGGCATTGGAACAGGTTGCCGAGAGAAGTTAAGGATGCCCCATCATTGGAAGTGTTCAAAGTCAGGCTGGATGGGGCTTTGAGCAACCTGATGAAGGATGTGCCTCCCAATGGCAGGGGATTGGACTAGATGATCTTCAAAGGTCTCTTCCCACTCAAATCATTCTATGATTCTACACTATCCATCAGTTTCTGGAAATGCTTATTATTGTATGAAAAGATGCAAGTTATTAAAATAAATAGAAGGAACATTGTGTAAGTACACTGCTCTTTTCTCATTCACAAAGAATCCGTGATCACAGAAGACCAGGCAAAAATCACAGAATTTAAATGGCAACAAATCACCTTTAACTTCAAATCTTCCTACACGCTGGCAAATTTCAACTACTGCTTTACTGGAGAATCATGAATATTTGCCTGAAGTATTTACATTATTACCTACCTCTTAACAAAACTTTTGGACAATTCCAAAACACAGTCACCACTACTGTGGAACCCACATAGTGAAATGGCTGAACAACCTGTAGTAGAAATGCTCCTGACCACTGAAGTGAAGTCACTGCAGGTTAAATTGAGCCCTTGTCAAAAGCAGCTTCCAGCTACCAATTCCAAAACCCCAAAAAAGAAATCAATTACTCGAGCTCTAAAAACACCTCAGGAAAATAAATCTTCCAATTTTTTTTTTTATCCAAAATATGGAGGACTAGGAACAAAACTAACTGATGGCAAAGCTGAAGTGTTGTTCATCAGCCAACAAAATGATTAAGGTACTTTATATAAATACGTGATCAGTCTTCCCTGCCAATGGCCTTCAGTTGCACTGGCCACTTGATCTGACCTTACTTTCAACAAGAATTTATTTCAACAAAGAAATAGTGTCCCATTAAAAACTAGAAATAATGGTTCTACAGCATTTTTGCTCCACTGCTGAAGCTGTAACTGTTAACCATCTAAGGTAGACCTCTTCTTTGAAAAAGAATGAAATGTCTCAACAATAATAAAGTCTATTCAACTATTACTGTAACTCTATCTTTTCATCCTTTAGAAGTTCTAAGTAACTAGATGGATATTTACATTGATATGTCACCCAGATACACAATAAATCATACAAACAAATCTTCACTTTCCATCAAAGAGAACGTATGACTTTGCTCATCTCTGACTTTTGATATAAAATATCACAAATGGCAACATTCATTTCTATACCTTTAAATAAACCACTTTTCTAGTACTGATTAAATTATTTCCAGATCTCAAAACAGTAAAAAATTGAAATGCCCAGGAACAAAGCTAAATTTCCGGCAGCAAAACAAAATTTTCAGATCAGGCACTTAATCACATTTTCATGTCTATATTTTCAAACAAAATATTAAGGTAGATATCTCACTGCTAAGGAGAAAGAAGCTGCTATGATCTGGGCATTTAATAACTTGCTGTCAATCATGCCAACTATAAAAAAAACCCCACACACAAAATGAGAAGTGAACCACTGAAGTAATACAAATTTGCTACCAAAGTTTTAGAGAACATCATATCACTAAATAGGCAAAAGGAACTGGTTGACCATTGAGAAACTGATCTTGCTGAAACATTTAAGTGAATTTTGATGGCAATAGAACTTCTTGCAGGAGAAAGCATACTATCTCCTTTGTTTGAACTAGTTTATTCCAAGCAGAGAAACTAAATCAGTCTTGGAAAAAAAATAAAGAAGGAAAAAGTTGGGTTGATTTATAAAGTGAGAAAACAGGTTAGCACTTATTAATTGTAAAAATGTTAAAGAATATGGTAATAAATTAAAAAATAAATCTAACTTCTTTAATTGAGTGAGCAAGTTAAGCCTTAAACAACACAATTTTAACAGGAAACAGAGGGAACATGGCAACATACAGCTTAGGACAGAAAAAAACCTTCATAACCAATGAGCCTAACCCTTTGATACTGCAGGCATGTACAGCATCACTTCTCTTACAAACTTATCAAGCTCTCTTAAAAATTATCATCTATCTTAAAAGGCTACTCCAGATGCTCATTTCCTATGGTAGCCAGAAACCTTCCAATTCTCACTTAGTATTTATTCTTGGAAGTCTGTGCTCATCTGATCTTGGTTAACATCACTATCTTAAAAACCTTTCTTTCCTTCAACAGACACAGAACCCTTGCCAAGTACAGCTGTGCTAAACTAAACAAACCAAGCTATCGGTCTCCTCACAAAATTAGCTGACCCTTATCTAATCACTCGAGTTAAGCCAACTCTTCACTTGTTCTAATTTGAATTTATTTTTCTTTAATACTGACAAATAAAGTCACAGACTATACTGCAGGAAAAGTTTTTATCAATTTGTTCTATAAAACAAGAAGCCTGAAATATTTACTTAGCTCTTTTGAAAATAACCTGAGATAACTTTTACAATCACATTTGACTCCTTCATGAGTATCACCTTTGTGATCATAATCCCCTACTTCTAAACTGTCCACCGCCTCTCTTTCTCTGTTGCTTCAAACAGGTGACGTTTGTGTCTTCTTTCTCAACTATTAAATTCTGTTGAGGCCAACCACTTCTTTCTGTATAATATTCTTCCTCTGTATGAATGACCCCACATAACTGTGCACGAACAGTAAGTTTCATTACTACACTCAAAATTTCAGTAATAAACAATGATTAATACTATTGGACCTACTAATTCATTAACTAGCTCCCAGAATTTCTAAATAGTACTTTTGAAATAAATCCTTCATGGCTCCTTCTATTTGTGTACCTGGATTGGATGACTTGATCTAAATTTTCACTCGTCTATAACCTGCTCACTACTATAAATAAATACCATAAATATAATCTTTGATGATATCATATCAAATATCATCATGAATGGCACCACCAACACTGACTGATTAAATACATTAACTACCACTTCTAGCAATAACTAGAAACTGCAGCTATATTCTTTTTGAAACAAACACATAACCTAGTTTGTGACTTAAAAATTACTGTCTTCCATTATGACACACTCCAGGTATTACCAGAGGTATTAACGCTATTATGGAATTATCAATCACCATTCAAATCTATTCTTGGGGACTATGGACAGAATCCCAGAACTGACTTAACAGAAGCTCTTTTCTCCACATACTCTGCAATATTATTTTCATGCTAACCAACTCTGTTTAGCCATGCTACCCCTTGTAACTGTTATTGTTCGTCTCATCATTAATGTAAAGCCCTATCTTATCTCACTGACCTGCAAACCTCAATCCTTGTTTTCCAGTCATCATTCCTTTCCCACTATAATTTCTATCCATTTCATATCCAGTTTTACATCCCACATCTGTCTTTACAGGCTTTGTTGAGGTTCCTCACAGATGCACAGTACTTTCTAAGTTACGGATTGATAGCTGTAATTGGGAAATGAAGGGGAAAATCTCACAAAAGGATTCATAGGGACATTACCTTCCTCCTTGGATTTGAACTATATTTTCCTTAAATGTTATCTACATCTTATCTTTGCTACGTATCCTCCTCTGGTGTTCTTTTCTCCTTTGTTGTATTTCTGACTGATCTGATCATACTCTTTTTATGTAGATGATAATAGTACTCAAGTTCTCTGAATCTTCACCTTCTCCCTGCACTTTTTACATTACAAGCTCTCTTAAGTTGTAGTGTCATTTTCAATCACAGAAAAATCAGTACCCAAGGTACCCAGGCAGAGTCTGTCCATTGAAATAAATCCTGCAAACATCTCCCAATATGATGGTTCAAGGATAAGAGACTTAAATGTCAATCACAGAATCAGTACTTGAACCATCTGCTGATCGCTTTTATGGAGTCATGCATTCTCACTCGCTTTCTAGGGACAAGGACTTCACTGACGGTTATCCAAGCCAATGCTTAATTCTTTCAGTTCTTACTCCAGTCTGTGCATTCAGAAGCAAGTGTTTAAAACTTACTACTCACTCTATTCCATTCTGTACTCAAATTTCTGTCTGAACCTCATCATGATTCCTAGTTCTTTCCAGATATCTTGTCATGCTCAGCATTCAATTAGCTTTGTAAGGCACTGTTCACGGCTCTGATTTCAGTCCAGATTCCCTGGCCTTTCCATTCACAGTCAATTTCACTGACTACTTAGATACTCTTTACCTGAAACACCTAAGTATATAGCTACCTAAACAACATCACCTAACTTCCATACATTCCCCTCACTACCAACACACAGTGGGATTTCTCTCAGAAGTTGAATATTAGCATGTATATATGTGTGCGTATCTCTAAGCAGAACTCAATTTTGGCTCAAGATATCTAAATGGGAATATATATAGGAGGACTAGGTTTCAAAGTCCCTAGCCAATCAAGGTTTAGTCAATGTAATCAATGTGAATTGCAATATGACTTGCCAAGATTCATGGTAGTCAAGCCATTGGCTAATTAGCTGAACGTTCACTTTTAAAAATCCTTCCCCGCAGCAAGATTAATTATACTGAGTTATCAACGACTGGAACATTATGCTTTTCTCAGCAATCTAAAGGCTCCCCAGTAAAAATAAGTTTTCAACACATAAGCACCTACTCACAACAATCAGACTCTTAACATTTTTTTAAGCATACATCTTATTTTCCAATTCCAAGATCGCTTTTGCAACCATGCTTTCAACTCTCTAATGCTTCTGCATCATTCTGAAACACAGAGTAAATAAGACATTGTATTCTTACAGCTATCTTACCAATGCTGCACAGAAGAAAGGTATTTTCCTTACATTTATCCAATATTCTCTTTATCAAAAAAAAGCATTATTTCTTTTTGTCAGCTTGCTAAGAACCCTCATTACAGCAGCTGTTTTCCATGACTCCTTTAACGTCTTATCCAACCTATTGCTTTCCTATTTTGCAGCTATAAATGGCATTTTGTCCCATGAAACCTTGTATTTGGCTGAACGCATAAAATGGATTGTGACAACTGAACTAGGAAACTCAAATCTCTCTGTACCTGTAACCTAATTTCCTCATACCCAGTAAGTTAATTGCCATTTTAGAAATTACTTTATGCAGTCTAGAACTCTGATGGCAATACTCATACTCAGAGGTTCGCAACAAGCAGCAATTTTCTGAGGAATCAGCCAAAACCACTTTATTTACTGTTCACCAGTCTTATAACACTCCCTCCACACCTAGGGGAGATCAGTAAACCAGTGCCTGGTCCAAGACACCCATGCAGCTTGTTACCTTATAGTGGACAAGTCATCACAGAGAAAGAGGCTGACTTATGTAATACAGCATCATATTAAGCTCATTTCTGGAGCTCAGCCATTAAATAGATGAGCTACGTTAAGTGTAAAAAGAGCAAACCATTTTGGTTAACCCGCGTTTTAATTATTTCCTTGCATTAAATGAAAAAAATTCTTTCCTGGTGCCTTTTCATATACAGTAACTACATATGTTGCTGGGTGCTGCATCTATTTCTCAGTGATGAGGAACTCTTATCATTAAAGTAGTTATGCACATTAACTAGATTGTATTTTGTTGTCAGCCAAAAGCACACAGCCAATAGATATTTCAGTAATAGGTTTCTTTCAAAATAATGCAGAAAGAAAATGTAATTTTTCATGAAGGCCTGTACTTTCAGGGATCAGCTCTCAATGAGTGTGGCAAACTTCAGAATTAGTGTGCTTCATTAACCGGCACAGAATACTACAGATAAATGCAGGTCTAGAAATCTGTTTAGTACTCTTTTCAGCAATAATCATAGGTATTATTGCTAATAAAATTTAGGAGGAAAAAAAAATCTATTAACGCGTAAGTATCACTCTTCAAGACTAACAAAAACAAGCAAACAAAGCAGGAAGAAGAAACAAGTTACGTTCAAAACTTAACTGAAATGAGTATTTATTTGACTAGAAAAAAGAAGTGCTTGTCATGTCAATTAGATTTCATGTCACACGCCACATACTGTTATGGTTATTTTTTTATAACCCAGTAACATAGAAAAAGAAATTTAAAAGGTATCTACAAATCCATCCCATTAACATTGGTCCTGACTTGTTCCCCCATTCCTAAAGCTTAATACTAATAATTTCACTCCATACCTAAATTATATTATCTTTGACTAATAACAGTTGCTCAGAGACTCAACTGGATTAGGAACTTGTTTCAGTGCCAATCACCACAGAACAGCGTGTTTGGAAAGAAGGACACGTATTGATTAGATATTTTTATACAAAACTGTTTGTCGAGGCCACTGGCTCCCAAACACACAGCAACTGATAACCCCCTACTAAAAAATGTTTTCCCTAAATTATTGTTAGGGGCTGATTTCACTCTAGGGTAAACAACAGATCGTATTTCAGAAAACTAAACTCTTGTTTTGCTACTCAATTAATCAGCGTTTCTCCTACTACAACAGATAAGCGGATAGCAAAAAAACCTCGACCATATTAACCAATGGTTTTATAACAAAACTAGCAAAATGCCAGGGATTTACAGAACCAACTCTCAACACATAGGTAAGATTATAAGGGCTAGGAAGCAGATAATGTTAAAAGCCCTCCTAGATCAGAGAAAAGAATCATCTAGCTTGTTATCCCCAAAAGGGAGCAGAAGCAGATGTTTAGAGAAAGCATGCACAAAACAGGGCGTGGCTCTGTAATCCATATAGTCAGGTTCGCAATTTGTTGGCTGGGAAGATACAGAAGATCTTGCTTATCAGTAACGACTTGTCTTAAGCTTCAGGAAAGCATCCAAACCGTTTCTGATCCCATTTAAACTTCCGTTTTCTATGATTTCTCATGACATGAGACTCCTCATTTAGGCAGCCCTTGAAAAAGATGTTATTCTTTTCACGATAGCCATAATTTCTTAAGTTTATATCTCCACCCTGCACCAAGTTCCTGCTCTTGCTTAAAGTCCTAACATATTCTCCCTCTTCTTACAGAGACTGTTCCATTAACTTCAGTCATTCCTGTCACCGTTTTCTTTCCCTTTTTAACGTCAGCTGCCGGGAGATGCAGACCGGCCCACGCGGCACCGCTGCAACTATGTCATGCAGCGCCAGGACACTCTGCTGGCGTCTTCCCCGTTCCCTCTTTCCCATGCCAGGCGCTAAGCACTGGGCAGCCCGTTTCAGAAAGCCACTCACAACCCCCATTCAGTGCTGCTCTTGAGCAGCAACAGTTAACTCAGAGCTCACGTTGGTTTATGCGCGTTTAGGTGCTGCTCTTCCCCACGCGTAACCTCCGCGTTTATCCATACCGGATTTCACGTGTTACTTCCAACGCATTACTCCGACCTATCACAAAGACAAACGGGAAGGAGACGGACACTGCTTTCTGCCTCCCTTCCCGGCTACTACTCCAGCCTTCTCCGAGAAGGCAGACTTTCGCAGAGCCGCTCTCGGGCGGGACGCTGCGCCTACCGGGGCGGGCCTACCCGCA